GTGGGATTTTGGGATGGGCTCTGGTGGGATTTTAGGATGGGCACAGAGCGCATTCCAACACCTTTGGGGTGTTTGGGATGAGCCCTGCAGGGTGGGAATGCCGTGGGATGGCCGAAGGAACGCCCGGCCTCCAGCAGGATCCGGTGGGATTTTGGGATGGGCACAGCACTGGGAAGTTCAGGCTCTGGGATGTTCAGGCTCTGGGATCGCATTCCAAGGCACGTTTGGGATGTTTGGGATGAGCCCTGCAGGGTGGGAACGCCGTGGGATCGCCGAAGGAAAGGGATTTGCAACCCCCAGGACCACCTGTGGTCCAGCAGGCTCTGGTGGGATTTTAGGATGGGCACAGAGCGCATTCCAACACCTTTGGGGTGTTTGGGATGAGCCCTGCAGGGTGGGAATGCCGTGGGATGGCCGAAGGAACGCGCAGCCCCCAGGGCGATCCGGTGGGATTTTGGGATGGGCACAGCACTGGGAAGTTCAGGCTCTGGGATGTTCAGGCTCTGGGATCGCATTCCAAGGCACGTTTGGGATGTTTGGGATGAGCCCTGAGGGTGGGAACGCCGTGGGATCGCCGAAGGAACGCGCAGTCCCCAGGGCGATCCGGTGGGATTTTGGGTGGCCGGGACTCTGGGGCTCTGGAGCGACATTCCGAGGCATCGCGGGGCGCTGGGATTCGGGATCGGCGGCGTCGGGAAGCGCCGGCTCCCGGCCCCTTCAAAGCGGCGCTTTCAAGTGCCGAGGGGAGATGGTATCAGCTGGGAATGGGGAGCTGGCAGGGCCGGGCCCGCTCCCCCCCGGGGCTGGGAGCAGCTCCCACGGGAGGGGACACGGCCCCACACGGGGCTGCCCCACAGCCCTGGGTCACACCTGGGGCCTCGGGGACAATCCTCGTGGGCAATGGGGGCACTGATGGACGTTGTTATTATCGTAATGTCCATTATTGTCATGGATGATGCCGGCCACTGGGTTTGGGTCACTGATGGCCAGATTTGGACATCACTGGCCAGGTTTGGACACCACTGGCCGAGTTAGGGTCATCACTGGCTGGATTTGGGTCATCACTGGCCGGATTTGGGTCACCACCGGCAGGATTTGGGTCATCACTGGCTGGATTTGGACACCACTGGCCGGATTTGGGTCACCACCGGCAGGATTTGGGTCATCACTGGCCGGATTTGGGTCACCACCGGCAGGATTTGGGTCATCACTGGCCGGATTTGGGACACGACTGGCCAGATTTGGGGCACCACTGGCCGGATTGGGATGACCAAGGGTGGGATCAGCAGGATGGGAACACCATTGATTTAGGAATGACCGAGGGTGGCATCAGCAGATTTTGGGATGATGGGATCAGCAGGGTGAGGGCTCTGGGTTTTGGGATGACCGAGGGTGGGATCAGCAGATTTTGGGATGATGGGATCAGCGGGGTGAGGGTTCTGGGTTTCAGGATGTCCAAGGGTGGGATCAGCAGATTTTGGGATGGTGGAGGATGGGATCAGCAGGGTGAGGGTTGTGGGTTTCGGGATGACCGAGGGTGGGATCAGCAGGGTGGTGGCCCTGCAGATTTCGGGATGACCAAGGCTGGGATCAGCAGCAGCTGAGGATGACACAGGATGTGCTGGCAGGGCTTTGGCAATCTGGGAGTCACGGGGGTCAGGGAGGGACATGGGGGGCCCCCGGTCCCTCCTGCCCACCATGGCCAGGGGGTGACACTGAGCTGGGGCCGAGGGCTCCCCGAGTGGGTGACACAGGGTGTCCCCAGCCCAAAATTCAGCCTTGGAGGGGTGGGGGGATCCCCTGGGGACACCCGGGGCTGGGGAGGCAGTGACTGCAGACCGGGGGGACCATGGGGGTCCCGGGGGTGGCAGGGATGGTTGTTTGGGAGGTTTGGGGGTCCCGGGGATGGCAGGGACAGTTGTTCGGGGGGGTTTGGGGGTCCTGGGGGTGGCAGGTCCAAAGGGTCTTGGCGGTCCCAGGGGAAAGCCCAGGGGAATCTAGGGGGACCCAGGGCAGGGTCCCGCAGGGTGTCTGGGGAGGATTCCCGGGGGTGGGTCCCGGGCGGTCCCGGGTGGTCCCGGGGCGGTCCCGCGGGGTGTCCGGGGGTGGGTCCCGGGTGGTCCTGGGGCGGTTCCGGGGTGGTCCCGGGGCGGTCCCGCGGGGTGTCCCGGGGAGGGGTCCCGCGTGGTCCCGGGTGGTCCCGGGGATGGGTCCCGGGTGGTCCCGGGGCGGTCCTGCGGGGTCCCGGGGCGGTCCCGCTGGGTGTCGGAGGGTCCGGCGGCGCCGCTGCCCGCGCTGTCCCCGCCCCGGCCGGGCCGGTGCCGCCCATTTCCGCCGGGCGGAGCCGCCCCTCGGCCCCGCAGCGGCCCCGCCGGCAGCGCCCGCCCGGCCCGGCCCGGCCCCGCTCGCTCCGGTGCAGCCCCGCCATGGCGGGCGGCCCGGCCGCGCTCGCCCTCGGTACGTGCGGGGGGCTCGGGCTCCGCGCCCCCAGCCCCGAGCGGAGCCCCCGCAGCGGGGCGCTCCCCGAGGGCTCGGGGGGTTCTGGGGGTGGCTTCTGGGGGTCGGGGCTGTAAGTTGCGGGAAGGCGGTGAAAATCCCGTAAAAATCCCCCGCGCGGGCGCTCCCGAAGTTCGTTCCCTGTGGGAAAGGCGCCTTCGCCGCGACGCGTGAGTACGGCCGCGGTCAGACGCTTAATTAGGGCGGCTAATTAGAGCTAGGGGCTAATTAGAGCTGGGGGGTGCTGGGGGAAGGGGGGGCGCTCCGGGCTGGAGCGGGACGGGAGCGGGGATGCTCCGGGGGAAGGAGCCCGGTGCGGAGGGCCGGAGCTCGGCTGGCTTTGTCCCGCTGTCCCCGCCGGTGTCACCCACCCGCAGCTCGGCCGGGGCTGTCCCGGGGGAAAGCGGCGCTCAGGAGCGCTCGGTTCGGGAGAACGGCTGCGTTTGGTTCGGGATCGCGGCTGCGTTTGGGTTCGGGGGAGCGGCTGGGTTTGGGTTCGGGGGAGCGGCTGGGTTTGGGTTCAGGAGAACGGCCGGGTTTGGGTTCGGGATCGCAGCCGGGTTTGGGTTCGGGATCGCGGCTGGGTTTGGGTTCGGGATCGCAGCCGGGTTTGGGTTCGGGATCGCAGCAGGGTTTGGGTTCGGGATCACGGCTGGGTTTGGGTTCGGGATCACGGCTGGGTTTGGGTTCGGGATCACGGCTGGGTTTGGGTTCGGGATCACGGCTGGGTTTGGGTTCGGGATCACGGCTGGGTTTGGGTTCGGGATCGCGGCTGGGTTTGGATTCCGGATCACAGCCGGGTTCGGGTTCGGGATCGCAGCCGGGTTTGGGTTCGGGATCGCAGCCGGGTTTGGGTTCGGGATCGCAGCCGGGTTTGGGTTCGGGATCACAGCCGGGCTTGGCCCCGCTCCAGCGCCCGGCGCTGCCGCTTTGGCTCCGGCACAGCCGCGCCGTGCCCCGGTGCTGCTCCTCGGCCGAGGCTCCCTCGGGGGCTCCGGCAGCCGTGTCCCCCCTTCCTGGGCTCATCCAGAGCTCCCGCTCCCGCCCTTCCCCATCTCTGCCCGGCCCCGCGGGTTCCCCTCCTGGGAATCCCAGCAATTCCCAGCCCGGCTGGGATCCCGGTGGGAGAGGAGCCCTGGCTGAATCCCCCCGGGATATCGGGGAAGGAAAGGGGGAACCCCTCCCGCTCCGGCACCTCAGGGCTGGAGCCGAGCGGGGATCGCGGCCGGGCGGCTCCGGAGCGAAATCTCGGAGCAGGGAACAAACCCCGGCCATAACGGAGGCGCCGGGGGCTGGGAATTAACGGGATGGAGCTGCTGGAAGCGCCTTGGGAAGGCTTGGAGTCCTTTGGAGAGCTGGGGGCTCCTGCCGGAGGGGAGAGATTCCCGGAGATCCCAGAGATCTCCTGGATCCCGGGGGTGGGATGGGGCTGGAAAAGCAAGCAGGGGTGGTGCAGCCCCACTCCAGGGCTCGAGAGTGTCCGGGAGGTGTCCAGGAGGTGTCCGAGTGTCCAGGAGGTGTCCAGGGGCTGTCCAGGAGGTGTCCGAGTGTCCAGGGGCTGTCCAGGGGCTGTCCAGGAGGTGTCCAGGTGTCCAGGAGGTGTCCGAGTGTCCAGAAGGTGTCCGGGAGGTGTCCAGGAGGTGTCCAAGTGTCCAGGGGGTGTCCAGGAGGTGTCCAGGAGGTGTCCGGGAGGTGTCCAGGGGGTGTCCAGGAGGTGTCCAGGGGGTGTCCAGGAGGTGTCCAGGAGGTGTCCGGGAGGTGTCCAGGGGGTGTCCGGGAGGTGTCCGGGAGGTGTCCGGTGCCCCCACGCCGGCCCTGGGCACAGAAAACATCCCAAGGGCCGGGATCAAGGATGAGGGCTGGGCTTTCCACCTGCCCATGGAGAGGAGCTGGGAAGGAGAACGGGGGAGCTGGAATTCCCAGGGGGATGGACCCCCACCCATCCCACCGGGATGAGGCATTTCCCAAAAAACCCAGAACGGGTGAAGCCCCAAGGCAGGAAAAATGGCAAAAGTTGGGATGAGACCGGATCCCTGACTGAATCCTGGCGGGAGGTGAATCCCCGAGGTCTGCGAGGAAACCGGGGAAGCCGTGGAGGATCCCTGGGGCTCCCGTGGATCCCCAAAGCTGTGGAGGGTCCCTGAACCCCTGGGTGGATCCCCAAAGCCATGGAGGATTCCTGAAGCTCCAGTGGATCCCTGGATTTGTGTTGGATCCCTGAAGCTGTGGAGAATCCCCAGACCCCTGGGTGGATCCCCAAAGCCGTGGAGGATTCCTGAAGCTCTGGTGGATCCCTGAATTTGTGTTGGATTCCCAAAGCTCTGGGTGGATCCCTGAACCCCAGGGTGGATCCCCAAAGCCCCAGGGTGGATCCCTGAACCCCAGAGTGGATCCCTGAATTTGTGTTGGATCCCTGAAGCTGTGGAGAATCCCTGAACCCCAGGGTTGATCCTCAAAGCCCTGGGTGGATCTCTGAAGCTCTGGTGGATCCCTGAACCCCAGGGTGGATCCCCGAAGCCCAGGGTGGATCTCTGAAGCCCTGGGTGGATCCCCGAAGCCCTGGCTGGCTCTCTGAAGCTCTGGTGGATCCCTGAATCCCAGAGTGGTTCACTGAACCCCAGGGTGGATCCCCAAAGCCCAGAGTGAATCCCCAAAGCGCCAGGATGGATCCCTGAACCCCAGAGTGGATCCCTGAATTTGTGTTGGATCCCTGAACCCCAGAGTGGATCCCCGAAGCCCTGGGTGGATCCCCGAAGCCCTGGCTGGCTCTCTGAAGCTCTGGTGGTTCCCTGAACCCCAGGGTGGATCCCCAAAGCCCCGGTGGTGCCGTGATTTGTGGGATGTGCAGCCCCAGGCTCCGTCTCCCTCCCGCCGCCTTTTCCACGCCATTCGATCGAAACCAGGCGGGAAATTGGGTCAAATCCCGGGAAATCGCCCTGGGAACGCTCCCGTGGCTCGAGGGGTTGGGGGGGCTCATTCCTGCCGGGACCCCCAGTTCTCCATAATCCCACCCACACAGGGAATTCCCGCATTTCCCATAAAAATCTCGGGGTGGTTTTGGCGACCCCGAACCCCCCGTGGGTTTTTTGGGGTCGGGGCGTGGCTGAGCCCGTGTGTCCCTCCCCGCAGGTGTCCTGCTGGCCGCGTGCCACGCGCTGGACAACACCACGGCCGCCCGGAACGGTGAGTGCCCGGCGGGAATTCCGGGGTGTCCCGGCATCCCAGCGCTCCTCTCCGCGGGATAACGGGGTCCTGGGTGGGATCCCCTGATCCCCGAGGGAAAAAGAGGGAGTGGTTTCCTGCCCCCCCCAAAAAAATGGGTTTTTGGTCCCAAAAAAGGGGGTTTGGCCCCAAAGGTAAACGCTCATGAGGAAAAGGTTTCCAGCCCCAAAAAGAAAGGTTTTGGTCCCTAAAGAAAGGGTTTCCCTACAAGGAAAGGGTTCCCAAAGGGAAAGGGTTTTCAGCTCTCAAAGAAAGAGTTTCCAAAAGGAAAGTTTTCAGCCCCAAAAGGAAGGGATTTCCAGCCCCAAAAGGAAGGGATTTCCAGCCCCAAATGGAAGAGCTCCCAGCCCCAAAAGGAAAGGATTTCCAGCCCCAAATGGAAGAGCTCCCAGCCCCAAAGGGAAAGGGTTTTCAGCTCTCAAAAAAAAGAGTTTCTGGCCCCAAAAGGAAAGTTTCTGGCCCCAAAAGGAAGGGATTTCCAGCCCCAAAAGGAAGGGATTTCCAGCCCCAAATGGAAGAGCTCCCAGCCCCAAAAGGAAAGGATTTCCAGCCCCAAATGGAAGAGCTCCCAGCCCCAAAGGGAAAGGGTTTTCAGCTCTCAAAAAAAAGAGTTTCTGGCCCCAAAAGGAAAGTTTCTGGCCCCAAAAGGAAGGGATTTCCATCCCCAAAAGGAAGGGATTTCCAGCCCCAAAGGGAAGAGCTCCCAGCCCAAAAGGGAAGAGCTCCCAGCCCCAAATGGAAAGGGTTTCTGGCCCCAAAGGGAAAGGAACGGGGCTGTGTGGTGGGAGTTCTTTGTGCACCTCGGTTTGGGGGGCAGAACTCCCCAAATCCCGGAGCAGGGGCCCTCGGAGGTGCGTTCCCAGCGGGAGCTGCCGTGCCTGACTCCGGGAGGATCAATCAGTTCATTCATGGCAGGGCCACAATGGGCCAGGGCAGCCTCGGGGAGCAGGCGGTGATGGAAACCTCCTCTGGGGAGGGGAACGGGGCTGGAAACCCTTTGGGTTTGGGGCTGGAAACTCTCTGGTTTTGGGGCTGGAAACCCTTTGGGTTTGGGGCTGGAAACTCTCTGGTTTTGGGGCTGGAAACCCTTTGGGTTTGGGGCTGGAAACTCTCTGGTTTTGGGGCTGGAAACTCTCTGGTTTTGGGGCTGGAAATCCTTTCCTTTTGGGACTGGAACTCTCTGGTTTTGGGGCTGGAACTCTCTGGTTTGGGGCCTGGAAACCATTTCGGTTTAGGGCTGGAAACCCTTTGGGTTTGGGGCTGGAAATCCTTTGGGTTTGGGGCTGGAAACTCTCTGGTTTTGGGGCTGGAAACCCTTTGGGTTTGGGGCTGGAAATCCTTTCCTTTTGGGACTGGAACTCTCTGGTTTTGGGGCTGGAACTCTCTGGTTTGGGGCCTGGAAACCATTTCGGTTTAGGGCTGGAAACCCTTTGGGTTTGGGGCTGGAAATCCTTTCCTTTTGGGGCTGGAACTCTCTGGTTTAGGGTTGGAAAACCCTTTGGTTTGGGACTGGAAACTCTGGTTTTGGGACTGGAAAGTCTGGGTTTGGGGCTGGAAACTCTCTGGTTTGGGTCTGGAAAACCCTTTGGTTTTGGGGCTGGAAATCCTTTCCTTTTGGGGCTGGAACTCTCTGGTTTAGGGTTGGAAAACCCTTTAGTTTGGGACTGGAAACCCTCTGTTTTGGGGCTGGAAACCATTTGGGTTTGGGGCTGGAAACCATTTGGGTTTGGGGCTGGAAAACCCTTTGGTTTTGGGGCCAGAAATCCATTCCTTGTGGGGCTGGAAATTGGGATAGTTCAACAGCATTATTTGGGAGGTGGTACTGGGAGGTTTCACAGCAAAGCCCCGAGGCATTCCCGGCGCCCCGAGGGTGCTGGCAGCCCCTTTCCCGATGGATTCCTGCCCAACCTCCCTTTTGGGGTGAGAAGTCTCCCTTTTGGGGTGAGAAGTCTCCCTTTTGGGGTGGGAAATCTCCCTTTTGGGGCTGGAAAAATCTCCTTTTAGGGCTGGAAAAAGGGGATGCGTTAATGGCAGTGCTTGGGAATGGCAGGAGGGCTGGGAGCGAAGCCCCGAGGCATTCCCGGCGCCCCGAGGGTGCTGGCAGCCCCGTTCCCGATGGATTCCTGCCCATCCCAGGAGCTGTAGGGCCGGGGCTGCTCCGAGGGGACCCTGCAGGGACAGGGACGGATCCATGGGGTGGGAGGAGGAGGAGGAGGAGGAGGAAGAGGCTGCAATGTGGGCGACAGCTGTGAGCGGAGCTGAACGGGTGCCAGGACACCCCAGGAGGCACAATCCCATCCAGGAGCTTGGATTTGAGGGTTAAAATCCTAAAAAAGGGGTGTTTTGGGGGATGTCCCAGCGGCGGGAGTCTGTGCTGTCCCGGGATAAATCCAGCCCTGGCAATGGAGGCGTTGGGGTTTTCCTGGAGAGGATTCCAGCAGTAATTCCCACCCCAAATCCCGGCTCCCTGTGGGTGCTGACCCCTCCAAAGCTCCTCAGACACGGGGACATCCCAATCCCAGCCACCCCAAGGACACGGGGACATCCCAATCCCAGCCACCCCTCGGACACGGGGACATCCCAATCCCAGCCACCCCAAGGACACGGGGACATCCCAATCCCAGCCACCCCTCGGACATGGGGACATCCCAATCCCAGCCACCCCTCGGACATGGGGACATCCCAATCCCAGCCACCCCAAGGACACGGGGACATCCCAATCCCAGCCACCCCAAGGACACGGGGACATCCCAATCCCAGCCACCCCAAGGACACGGGGACATCCCAATCCCAGCCACCCCAAGGACATGGGGACATCCCAATCCCAGCCACCCCAAGGACATGGGGACATCCCAATCCCGGCCACCCCAAGGACATGGGGACATCCCAATCCCAGCCACCCCAAGGACATGGGGACATCCCAATCCCAGCCACCCCAAGGATACGGGGACATCCCAATCCCGGCCACCCCAAGGACATGGGGACATCCCAATCCCAGCCACCCCAAGGACATGGGGACATCCCAATCCCAGCCACCCCAAGGATACGGGGACATCCCAATCCCGGCCACCCCAAGGACATGGGGACATCCCAATCCCAGCCACCCCACGGACACGGGGACATCCCAATCCCAGCCACCCCAAGGACATGGGGACATCCCAATCCCAGCCACCCCTCGGACATGGGGACATCCCAATCCCAGCCACCCCAAGGACACGGGGACATCCCAATCCCAGCCACCCCTCAGAGCGGGAAGCATTCCCACATCCCTGCCTTTAATCACCCCCGTATGGAGCTGCCATAAATCCAGGGCTCAGGAACTGGGGGTGGCTTTGAAACGCCGGCGATCGGAAGTGCCTGGATCCCGGGATAATCCCGGAGCAGGATATTCCCTTCCCGGAGGATAATTCAAACCAGCGTGGGATTTAATGGGAAACAGGAGCCCGGGTTTAACTCCCTCCTCCTCCCTTTTAAGCTCTTTAGGAAATTCCTGAGGGATTATTGAAGCAGGACCCGTCTGGGCTCTTCGGGGTGGCCGCAGCACCGCGTCCCACGCGGCCATCCCAAAATAAACCCCCAAAGGGTTTGGGATTGCCCAAAACCGAGGGGTTTTGCCTCGTTTTTGCCCACAGCTCCGGTGGCGGCGGCGGTGAGGTCGCACTTCAACGACTGCCCCGACTCCCACAGCCAGTTCTGCTTCCACGGCACCTGCCGCTTCCTGGTGCAGGAGGACAAACCCGCCTGCGTGTGAGTGCCCCAGTCCCGGGGAGATCCCAAATCCTGGGTTTGGAGTCCTGGGGATCCCGAAATACTGGGATTGATATCCTGGGGATCCCAAAATCCCAGGTGTGGAGTCCTGGGGATCCCAAAATCCTGAGTGTGGAGTCCTGGGGATCCCAAAATACTGGGATTGATATCCTGGGGATCCCAAAATACCGGGTTTGGAGTCCTGGGGATCCCAAAACCCCAGATATGGAGTCTTGGGGATCCCAAATCCCCGGGTCTGGAGTCCTGGGGATCCCAAATCTTGAGTGTGGAGTCCTGGGGATCCCAAAATCCTGGGTTTGGAGTCCTGGGGGTCCCAAAATCCCGGGTTTGGTGTTCTATGGATCCCAAAATACTGGGTGTGGAGTCCTGGGGATCCCAAACCCCGGGTCTGGAGTCCTGGGGATCCCAAAATCCCCAGGTTTGGAGTCCTGGGGATCCCAAAATCTGGGTTTGATATCCTGGGGATCCCAAAACCCCGGGTTTGGTGTTCTATGGATCCCAAACCCCGGGTCTGGAGTCTTGGGGATCCCAAAATCCCGGGTTTGGAGTCCTGGGGATCCCAAACCCTGGGTCTGGAGTCCTGGGGATCCCAAACCCTGGGTCTGGAGTCCTGGGGATCCCCAAACTCCAGGTTCGGTGTCCTGGGGTGATTCCACTGTCCCTCTGGTGTGTCCCAATCCTGTGGTGACTCCATGTCCCTGTTCCCACGTGTCCCCATCCCCTGGTGACCTCATGTCCCCAGGTGTCACTCGGGGTACGTGGGGACACTGACCTGCTGTGTGTCCCCAGGTGTCACTCGGGGTACGTGGGGACACTCTGACGTGCTGTGTGTCCCCAGGTGTCACTCGGGGTACGTGGGGACACTGACCTGCTGTGTGTCCCCAGGTGTCACTCGGGGTACGTGGGGACACGCTGTGAGCACGCTGACCTGCTGGCCGTGGTGGCAGCCAACCAGAAGAAGCAGACGATCACGGCCCTGCTCGTGGTGGCCGTGGTGGCCTCGGCGCTGCTCGTCACCGTCTGCGTCTTGGTGCAGTGAGTGCTGGCTGGGGACATCCCGGGGACATCCCGGGGACATCCCGGGGACACCCTGGGGACATCCCGGGGACACCCTGGGGACATCCCGGGGACATCCCGGGGACATCCCGGGGACATCCTGGGACATCCCGGGGACATCCTGGGGACATCCTGGGGACACGCTGGAACACCCTGGGGACATCCTGGGGACATCCCGGGGACACGCTGGGACAAGGGACCCTGTCCTGCCCCTGTCCCTGTGTCCGTGTCCCTGAGTCCCTGTGTCCGTGTCCCTGAGTCCCTGTGTCCGTGTCCCTGAGTCCCTGTGTCCGTGTCCCTGAGTCCCTGTGTCCGTGTCCCTGAGTCCCTGTGTCCGTGTCCCTGAGTCCCTGTGTCCGTGTCCCTGTGTCCGTGTCCCTGTGTCCCTGGGGACATCCCGGGGACACCCTGGGACAAGGGACCCTGTCCTGACCCTGTCCCTGTGTCCTATCCCTGTCCTATCCCTGTCCTATCCCTGTCCTATCCCTGTCCCTGTCTTGTCCCCATCCCTGTCCCCATCCCTGTCCCTGTGTCCCTGTGTCCCTGTGTCCCCATCCCTGTCCCCATCCCTGTGTCCGTGTCCCTGTGTCCGTGTCCCTGTGTCCCTGTGTCCGTGTCCCTGTGTCCCTGTGTCCCTGTGTCCCTGTGTCCGTGTCCCTGTGTCCATGTCCCTGTGTCCCTGTGTCCCTGTGTCCGTGTCCCTGTGTCCATGTCCCTGTGTCCCTGTGTCCCTGTGTCCGTGTCCCTGTGTCCGTGTCCCTGTCCCCCAGCTGCTGCCGCCTGCGGAAGCGCTGTCCGGGCTGGTGCCGGGAGCACGGAGCCGGCCAGGAGAAACCGGGGGGGCTGCTCAAGGGGGGCACGTCCTGCTGCCCCTGCGAGACAGGTGAGGGACACCTGGGACAGGTGAGGGGCACCTGGGGACACCTGGGACAGGTGAGGGACACCTGGGGACACCTGGGGACACCTGGGACAGGTGAGGGACACCTGGGGACACCTGGGACAGGTGAGGGGCACCTGGGGACACCTGGGACAGGTGAGGGACACCTGGGGACACCTGGGACACCTGGGGACACCTGGGACAGGTGAGGGACACCTGGGGACACCTGGGACAGGTGAGGGGCACCTGGGGACACCTGGGACACCTGGGACAGGTGAGGGGCACCTGGGGACACCTGGAACAGGTGAGGGACACCTGGGGACACCTGGGACAGGTGAGGGGACCTAGGGGACAGGTGAGGGGACCCAGGGGACAGGTGAGGGGACAGCTGGGAACACCTGGGACAGCTGAGGGGACAGGTGGGACAGGTGAGGGACCCCTGGGACAGGTGAGGGGACCCAGGGGACACTGGGGGCCGTCACTGCCGCTGTCCCCTGCCAGCTGAGGCGCAGGTGACAGCATCCTGCCATTCCTGTCCCCACAGGTGTGTGACAGAGCCGGGAGCACCTGGGGACCCCCCGGATCCTTTTTGGGGCGTTTTCCCCTTTTCCCGTCGTTTTCCTGGGCAGGAGCCCAGCCCCGGGCATTTCCTTTGCCTTTGGGGTGGTTCTCCCGCCATTTCCACCCTCCCAAATATTTGGGTTTTCCACCAAAAACCCCGGCCAGGATGGGGCTTTATTTTTCTACAGAGAAAAAAAAAAACCCAGCTCCTTTTTGGGGACAAATCCCAGCTTTTTATTAATAATAAATGAACTTAAATCCCAGGAAACCTCCTCGGGCTGGAGCTCCAACCTCTGGCACGGCCTTAATTTCCCCTTTAGTCCTCCTCATAACCAACCCAGAGCTTTTCCCTCTCTTTTGGGGTTGTTTTTGGGGTTTTTTGTTTAATTTTTAAAGTCATGGTTACTCTCATGTCTTCTGTATATGTTGCACTGAAAGTTAATATTTAATGTTTTAATTTATTTCGAGTGGTTTAAATTAATTTTGATTCCTATAAAGATGTTCTTGTCAGCGCCTGGTCTTGGGTTTTGTTTTGGGGTTTGGTTTTTTTCCCCCGTCCTAATAATTTGGGTTAGAGTTATTTGATGTAAAAGGTGATTTTTTAGCCCAGAAAATTCGTGGTTTGGGGTTTTTTTTTTGGGGGGGGGGGGGATATTTGGGAAGGAGATGCTGGAATATTCCCAGGGGGGGAATATTCCCAGGGATGGCTGAGCCCAAATTTCCCATGATTTCACCCCAAATTTTAAAGCCCAATGCCCCAAAAATGAACTCAGCCCCATTTTCCCATTATTTCACCCCAAATTTTGCAGTCCTTATCCCCCAAAAATGAACTCAGCCCCATTTTCCCATGATTTCATCCCAAATTTTGCAGTCCTTATCCCCCAAAAATGAACTCAGCCCCATTTTCCCATGATTTCATCCCAAATTTTAAAGTCCTTATCCCCCAAAAATGAACTCAGCCCCATTTTCCCATGATTTCATCCCAAATTTTGCAGTCCTTATCCCCCAAAAATGAACTCAGCCCCATTTTCCCATGATTTCATCCCAAATTTTAAATCCCAATGCCCCAAAAATTATCTCAGCCCCATTTTGGGGTGGTCCTGGAGGTTTTGGGGCGATTCCCGGCAGTTTTGGGGTGATTCCCAACAGGTTTGGGATGGTCCTGGAGGTTTTGGGGTGATTCCTGCCAGGTTTGGGGTGGTCCTGGAGATTTTGGGGTGATTCCCAACAGGTTTGGGATGGTCCTGGAGGTTTTGGGGTGATTCCCAACAGGTTTGGGGTGGTCCTGGAGATTTTGGGGTGATTCCCGGAAATTTTGGGGTGGTCCTGGAAGTTTTGGGGCAATTCCCGGCAGTTTTGGGGTGATTCCCAACAGGTTTGAGGTGGTTCTGGAGGTTTTGGGGTGATTCCCGGCAGTTTTGGGGTGATTCCCGACAGGTTTGGGGTGGTCCTGGAGGTTTTGGGCAATTCCCGGCAGTTTTGGAGGTTTTGGGCAATTCCAGGCAGTTTTGGGGTGGTTCTGGAGGTTTTGGGGCGATTCCCGACAGGTTTGGGGTGGTCCTGGAGGTTTTGGGGTGATTCCTGGCAGTTTTGGGATGGTCCTGGAGGTTTTGGGGCAATTCCCGGCAGTTTTGGGGTGGTCCTGGAGATTTTGGGGTGATTCCCGGAAATTTTGGGGTGGTCCTGGAAGTTTTGGGGCAATTCCTGGCAGTTTTGGGGTGATTCCCAACAGGTTTGAGGTGGTTCTGGAGGTTTTGGGGTGATTCCTGGCAGTTTTGGGGTG